CCACTTTAGCTCTGTAACAGGAACCTAAAGAATGTATAACTCGGTTTCTGTTCTTGGTAAGAATCCCAAACATCTTGTCTTTAAACATTTTTCAAAGGAAAAGATTCACATTTATAAATACAGTAGCAGCCATTCAAAATCAGTCAAACGGCAGCCAAATGACAGACTCCCTGCAACTCCCAGCAAAATCCCCTCCAACCACTGCAGTGACCCCCCCTCTGGCATATTTTTTTTACTCTGACTCCACCCTTTCATTTAATTACAGGGTCTGACCAGGAGATGAAGCATTTTTTGGATCTTAATGTCCACAAATCATGACAGAAAGAATATTTTAGTACAAAAATTGGTGTTTAAAAGGGAATTGTAGGGGACCAGCCAAGGGCCAGCTATTGACTAGCCAAGGGCTATTCAAGGACCAGCCAAGGACCAGCTATTGACTAGCCAAGGGCTATTCAAGGACCAGCCAAGGGCCAGCTATTGACTAGCCAAGGGCTATTCAAGGACCAGCCAAGGGCCAGCTATTGACTAGCCAAGGGCTATTCAAGGACCAGCCAAGGGCCAGCTATTGACTAGCCAAGGGCTATTCAAGGACCAGCCAAGGACCAGCTATTGACTAGCCAAGGGCTATTCAAGGACCAGCCAAGGGCCAGCTATTGACTAGCCAAGGGCTATTCAAGGACCAGCCAAGGGCCAGCTATTGACTAGCCAAGGGCTATTCAAGGACCAGCCAAGGGCCAGCTATTGACTAGCCAAGGGCTATTCAAGGACCAGCCAAGGGCCAGCTATTGACTAGCCAAGGGCTATTCAAGGACCAGCCAAGGGCCAGCTATTGACTAGCCAAGGGCTATTCAAGGACCAGCCAAGGGCCAGCTATTGACTAGCCAAGGGCTATTCAAGGACCAGCCAAGGACCAGCTATTGACTAGCCAAGGGCTATTCAAGGACCAGCCAAGGGCCAGCTATTGACTAGCCAAGGGCTATTCAAGGACCAGCCAAGGACCAGCTATTGACTAGCCAAGGGCTATTCAAGGACCAGCCAAGGGCCAGCTATTGACTAGCCAAGGGCTATTCAAGGACCAGCCAAGGACCAGCTATTGACTAGCCAAGGGCTATTCAAGGGCCAGCCAAGGGCCAGCTATTGACTAGCCAAGGGCTATTCAAGGACCAGCTATTGACTAGCCAAGGGCTATTCAAGGACCAGCCAAGGGCCAGCTATTGACTAGCCAAGGGCTATTCAAGGACCAGCCAAGGACCAGCTATTGACTAGCCAAGGGCTATTCAAGGACCAGCCAAGGACCAGCTATTGACTAGCCAAGGGCTATTCAAGGACCAGCCAAGGGCCAGCTATTGACTAGCCAAGGGCTATTCAAGGACCAGCCAAGGACCAGCTATTGACTAGCCAAGGGCTATTCAAGGACCAACCAAGGACCAGCTATTGACTAGCCAAGGGCTATTAAAGGACCAGCTATTGACTAGCCAAGGGCTATTCAAGGACCAGCTATTGACTAGCCAAGGGCTATTCAAGGACCAGCCAAGGACCAGCTATTGACTAGCCAAGGGCTATTCAAGGACCAGCCAAGGGCCAGCTATTGACTCGCCAAGGGCTATTCAAGGACCAGCCATTGACTAGCCAAGAGCTATTCAAGGACCAGCCAAGGGCCAGCTTATTGACTAGCCAAGGGCTATTCAAGGACCAGCCAAGGGCCAGCTATTGACTAGACAAGGGCTATTCAAGGACCAGCCAAGGACCAGCTATTGACTAGCCAAGGGCTATTCAAGGACCAGCCAAGGGCCAGCTATTGACTAGCCAAGGGCTATTCAAGGACCAGCCAAGGGCCAGCTATTGACTAGCCAAGGGCTATTCAAGGACCAGCCAAGGACCAGCTATTGACTAGCCAAGGGCTATTCAAGGACCAGCCAAGGGCCAGCTATTGACTAGCCAAGGGCTATTCAAGGACCAGCCAAGGGCCAGCTATTGACTAGCCAAGGGCTATTCAAGGACCAGCCAAGGACCAGCTATTGACTAGCCAAGGGCTATTCAAGGACCAGCCAAGGACCAGCTATTGACTAGCCAAGGGCTATTCAAGGACCAGCCAAGGGCCAGCTATTGACTAGCCAAGGGCTATTCAAGGACCAGCTATTGAATAGCCAAGGGCTATTCAAGGACCAGCTATTGACTAGCCAAGGGCTATTCAAGGACCAGCCAAGGACCAACTATTGACTAGCCAAGGGCTATTCAAGGACCAGCCAAGGGCCAGCTATTGACTAGCCAAGGGCTATTCAAGGACCAGCCAAGGGCCAGCTATTGACTAGCCAAGGGCTATTCAAGGACCAGCTATTGACTAGCCAAGGGCTATTCAAGGACCAGCCAAGGACCAGCTATTGACTAGCCAAGGGCTATTCAAGGACCAGCCAAGGGTCAGCTATTGACTAGCCAAGGGCTATTCAAGGACCAGCCAAGGACCAGCTATTGACTAGCCAAGGGCTATTCAAGGACCAGCCAAGGGCCAGCTATTGACTAGCCAAGGGCTATTCAAGGACCAGCCAAGGGCCAGCTATTGACTAGCCAAGGGCTATTCAAGGAAAATGGGGAAATGTTGAATGGCTACTACTGTAATTCAAAGAAATAATATTTAATGTATGGGGCATCGTAACCCTGATGGGAGTATTAACCAGTGGGATGGTGAGGGTCCTGTATCTGTACTGTGATTTTTGGTAGCGAAACGTTTGTGAGGCGTCACAACGCGTTTCAACACATTGCCAAACTGTATCGATACACAGATAACTGACACCTACTGGACATTTAAACCACTCCAGGCAGCCTCTGTGACTACACTGACACTGGTTGGATGACATATAATAGGATTTATTTCATCGTTTGCCCCCCTAACAAAAAACAAAACGAAAAGACAGAATGAAAACACAGTAGAAAAGCTGGTAAGAAAGTCTTACACTCCATTCACATTGAATGTGCTTCAGGCAGCAGAAGCAGCAGGTTTACATGCAAAGTCAATCGTTGACGTGCATCAAGGTGCATCAAAAGCTCCTGCAGCGTCTAGAGCAGCTGAAGCAGCACATCATGAGCTTCTGAGCATCTGAGCTGCAGCTGCTGGAGTTGGAAAAATTGAACTTTAGCTGCTTGACGCGCCGCATCAACCAATCAGAGAAGCTGATCTGGGAGCTGGCAGGGAGTCAGACGCAGCACTGCTGATGCAGAGCGCTATGATCACTCCTCTGAAACAGTTTATTAACGCCTAGATTAACTTCAAATGTAGAAACCTGCCGGCAGAATATGTTGGCTTTTATTATCCTGCTGCCTGCAGTTTGTAGCACAGACCTGAAAAACGCTAACATCTACTTCCAGCCGCCACCAACAGGAGGGGAAAACCCTGGAGAGGCGAGCGGGCCTGAGGCAGCTGCTGCTGGGGATTCCCAGTGACAGCGCAGCGCCGGTATGTGGGGGTCTGAGCGGCTCCCACAGAGAAATAATCTTTGAAGGCAGGATGGTAATCTTACGGAACAGGATTAGGGCCACTGAAAAAAAAGAAAATTTAACAGATTTTTAAATTTTATTTCAGTTTAACATGGGAAAAAAGTCAGAATCAAGCCATAGCCATGTCTGTTTTAGAGACTAGCTCTCTTGTTTTAATGACCTTCTGCTCCTCCATTAATGAGGGGACCCCTCTGGCACGTAAAAAGTTGCCTAATTCCGTCATTTTCCACCAATGTGTCACTGGCCACCTCAAACAACTCACATTTTTGTCAGTGAAGCTGAGTGCTCCACATCTCTTCCTTCATGGTGCCCATCTACATTAAGATCCAAAATTCTGAGATTAAAGTCAGAATTCTGAGAAAACTACTACTAAATTGAAATAAAATTTTATAATCAGTAAACTTTTTTTTTTTCAGTGGCCCTAATCCTCTTCCGTATAATCTGGATGAACTGACTGCACAGACCATGTTTTCAGGAGGACTTTCTCACTTCAACATAGATTCTAGGGCTGCAACTAACGATTTTTTTAAAAATCGATGAATCGGCCGATTATTTTTTCGATTAATCGATGAATCGGACAAAAAATATTTTTTATATTAACCTCTTTATTCCAAAATAAACATTTTAGACAGAACAAACAAGCACACAAGTACAGGTTGCTCATTAACTGTACTGGTGCAATATGAAAAATAAATGTTTGTGTTAAAACTACGCAAACTTACATGAGAAATGTAGCTGTACATCCACAAAATATAGGCTACTTTGTTTCATAAAGCGCAAAAAGGAACGATACATGCTTTCACGTAAGAGTCTCCAAAAGCCGCCAGTGACACCGTAGAAAGTCGCCAGATTTGTCACCAGTCGCTTTTTTAAAAAAATAGTCGCTGGAGGGGTCTGAAAAGTCGCTAAATATAGCGACAAAGTCGCTGAGTTGGCAACACTGCACCTGCGGCGCTGACTCGCTCTGCCGTAATTTTTTTTTCTTCCCCCGTTTCAGTCAAGTGGATGTGATGACGACGGCGGCGGATGACGCATTAATCGCGCGACACAACTAATCGATGATTAAATTCGTTGCCAACGCTTTTAAAAGTCAATTTTTATCGATTTTATCGATTCGTTGTTGCAGCCCTAATAGATTCTAACTACTCTTTACCCGCTGATCACAGCTAATATAGCAAAGCTGCTCTCTGGCATTGAACACAGGAGCATCAGACGCATCTGGACTCACTTTACTGGACGTCTGACCTTAATGTGGACAAACATCAGAATTGAAGCAGCAGAAGCTTTTATGCTGCTGAAAGCATGTCTGGTATGATTGTCCAACGTCTAAGAGAAAATAAGGGTAAAATCTGGGGTGTGCGGTGTGTTTCCTGACAGCTGCAGGGTTCAGGTGTATAGATCAGCCTGATCTCCCCAGAGGCAGAAGCAAAGCTGTGTGATCCAGAGATTTAATTATCTCCACTACAGCAATGAAGTGTAACAGACTTGGATGATGTAATGTTCTTCACCTCATAATGGGCCACCCTCTGGGACTCGGAGATGAGCTGAGCGCTGCACACTTTGCAGTAGCTGTCTGTGAAAAGTCCTTGGTCCACCTCTGTTGACTTCATCTAGAAAAGAAGACAAATGGACGATTATTAAACCTGGAGATGAGAGAGGAAAATGAACGATTTAATTATTATCATTTGAATTATCGACGTCATTCTGATGTCATTCAGACAAACGGCTGATGAACGCAGTGGTGCAAAAAGTGGGCATGCAGTGTATGCAACAGATAGGGGCGCTGCACTAGAGGGGGAGTCTAGAAAAAATGTCTTTCTAGTTGGCATTTTCTATATTTAACAGCATAAAATGATCAATAACGGAGTGACAGCCCCTCTGATCCTTCACCTCCCTTCTTATTGCTCTTCCTTCCACACAGGTGGTTTGGACACACGCCTGTAAGAAAACGCACTCACGCACATTTTTTTTTTGTTTCTTTGAAATCTTAGACTGGGCTGCGTCCGAATTCATGGGCTGCGCCTTCCAAGGACGCGGTCTACCTGGACTGGATCCTTGTAGGTCCGTGAAAATAAGGAGGCCAGAAGAGTTTTGGCTGTGAATTCAAACAGGTCCATCCTTTGCGCGGCTTTCTCTGCCATACGCTCTGTCGCTTAGCAACCGTGATAGTTGACACACAAAGCAGGAAAAGAATGAATACCGAAGTTTTCAAAACTGTTTTATTTTCTTTTATTCTTTATTATAAAGTGAACAAAGACTACAATCGTGTCAATCCAGAGTGGAATAAAGGTTCCAACCACCGGGAGCAGGAACAAAAAAAAATCAAATGTAATGATAGAAACCTTAGTCAGTTAAATAACCTGCAGCTGTGATTCTGCACATCTCTGATGTTGCTGCTGTTTTCAAATATCCATTACTAGGGATGCAGGACATTGGGATTTTGGCCGATATCCGATATGCCGATATTTTAAAAGTCATGTAGCCGATAACCGATATCGATACCGATGTTAAAGCTGGACAAAAATAAGTAGTCATTGAAAATAGCAGTTTTGTTATCCATTTCTGACACTTTGAAAAATAATATACTCAAATATATTTTCATATGCTGATATCAAATAGATTTTTAAAAACGCGGTATCGATCTATTTTACTTTCAAAATCTGGTGAAATTTCATCGTTCTGTTACAAACTCTCGTGATATTTTGCAAATTCTTGTGAGATTTTGTTAGTAAAATAGATCGATACCGCGTCAAAATATCAACATATAAAAATATGGCAAAATTTCGTGAATTTTCGGGGGATTTCGTAGCATAACGATGACATATAGCAATATTTCATTAGTAAAAGAGATTGATATGGTGTTTTTAAATGACAATATATCAGCATATGAAGATATTGGGATATTTTAATGTATCAATATTTTTTCCCTCGTCTTTAGAAGTTTTTAAGTCTGCAAAAAAGAAGTTTTTGAGGAAAGAGCAGAAGTAGTATTTATTTTTATTTTTTTAGACTTTAGAAACTCAGAAGCTGATCAAATATCAGGTTAAATATCGGTGGGGTGGCCGATGTCCGATATTCAGTTTTAAGGCCGATACCGATAGGGGGACGATTATATCGTGCATCCCTATCCATTACTGCAAAAATGTCCATAGCTGCATATTGTTTATTTATTCTCCAGTTTTATATTGTTAAACATCACAGTGTTTTATTGTTTATATTTGAACTTTTCACTATTATATTATTCTTATACATTTTTCTAAAATTCACATTTGTGTGACCATTTTTTTAAATAATCCTTTTGCTGCTGTAAATTTCCCCATTGTGGAACAATAAAGAGATTTTCTATTCTATTCTATAAAAGGGGTAGAAATATATAAGTAAATCTAAACAATTTAAGTATAAAAAACGTATCAGTAAAATCTCTTAAATTCAACAAAAAATACTTAGTTAAGCAAATTGTGCAAAATAACAGTTAAAAATGAAACTCCTATCAGATTTATAGTCCCCCCCCACCCTGCAGATCTATTAGAATCTGTCCTTAATTTCCAGCCAAACTCATTTACACAGTAACAGATAAAAACCTTTAGATAAATCAAACATTACCGCCACATATCTGACTCTCTAACCATTAAAACAATATATATGCTCACATATATGCTCTGTTTTTTGCGAAGTAGAGCCAGCCAATCATGTTCGCGTATGCAAATTAGCCATGTGCTTTTCCGCAGTTACTAGCGTGAAGATAGCAGGTCTTCACTCCTGTTTGTGGACCTCGATGGACAAATTCGACCCATTTCCATTCGTCAGAAACTGGATTAAAGCAGGACATGTGCGTGCATGAAAGAGAGAGACAGACAGACAGTCTTTGTGCTTGTGTGTGTTTTCATAGACTGTCTATTCAGGCTCTTGCCCGCTCTATCAGATTCACAGAAAGCTTCATCCACCAAGCTGTCAGGAAGCTGACCCACCTCAAAATAAATAAATCACTCCGGACAAACTGTCTCCTGCACTACTATTAATACTATATTTATTTACTGTTATTTTGCACTGTTACTGTTACAAATGCTATATCTTACATAATTGGTAATAATAATAATAATAATTTTTCTGCTGCCATTACCATCTGCCTTTTTGCACTAGCATAAGTATTGCATATTTTATATTATTGTACATTTTATATTTTATTGTGAAATTGAATGTTTAAATGTTAGTATTAGGAACTGATCTTATCAGTTGTGCCTGTGCACTTTATCTGTTTCACTGTTGGTGAATGAGAAACGTCCTCTCCAGTCCTTGTATGTCTGAATGTGAAGAATTGACATTAAAGCTGACTTTAACTTTGAAATGTTATAGGCCTGCTGCATATTGAGACAATTTAGATCAGTATATAGTAACAATCAAGAGATGGGGACCCCCCCAAATATTGACAGGTACTTCGCACACTGCCGCTGACAGTTGCATCTGCAGAGAGATCATTTAGCTAAAGCTCATCAAAACACACCTTCATTCAAATATGAGGTGCGATGGTTTGTCCCAGTTAGCAGTGAGCTCTATTGAAAACACGGGACGTTCTGCATCATTTGATTCTATACTTGACAAATGGGCACTTCCAAACTCAATGGAATGAAACAGTTTAAACGTCATAAATGTTCAAACTCGATGATGTGTTCACATCCACCTAAAAAATATGTAGTTGCGCCCCTGGATAAATGCACAGCTTCTCTGTAATCTGAGGTGAATCTGAGGCTGAAGCTGAGATGGTTGAAGCTGGGAACCCGTTAGATCGTATAAACTGTGCAGAAGAAGTGGAAAAGATGAGGTTTTTGTTTGGACCATTGGTGTTTTTTAGCCTTTTTTTGGGGGTGCTGAAGCAACCTCTTATTTGAATCAAAGCAACACTAAAATATGTGGGTTTTCTTTATACTGTATGCGCTTTTTATAATAAAAAACAAAGAAAACCAAAAAAATTTGACGTTGTAAAAACCACATAGTATTTGGCTTTTTAATTCAATTATGTTCTGGTTTTCTGCGATGGACTGGCGACCTGTCCCGGGTGTACCTGAATGCAGCGTTTTTGAGGAAAACGCTGCATTCAGGTGTTTCTGAAATGTACAGTTTGATTTCTGCACCTATTGATGGTGTGTTGGTGAAATGTTCACCAGAGAGGTGCTCTAAAGTGTCTGAGACTGCTAGGGCTGCAACTAACGATTATTTTAAAAATCGATGAATCGGACGATTATTTTTTCGATTAATCGATGAATCGGACAAAAAATATTTTTTATATTAACCTCTTTATTCCAAAATAAACATTTTAGACAGAACAAACAAGCACACAAGTACAGGTTGCTCATTAACTGTACTGGTGCAATATGAAAAATAAATGTTTGTGTTAAAACTACGCAAACTTACATGAGAAATGTAGCTGTACATCCACAAAATATAGGGTACTTTGTTTCATAAAGCGCAAAAAAAGACATTTTTGTTTTTTAAAGCCCCTAAGGGGTTCAAACAATAGGCCCCCCCATTTCAACAAATGAGTTTTTTTTAGACTAGAAGAGTTCTGCCTTTTAAGACAGGAAAGTATAGCAGTTAAAGTTGCTACTTGAGAAAATACTGAACCATAGAGATAAAAATAGCCCTGTGATTCAAATTATAAATTGTATTTGGAATAAAAATGAGAGAACTAGGGGTGCTAAAAAACACATTCTCCAAAGACAGATATTTACATGGGAATGTGGCAGATAATTAATTGACATATTACTGATCTTGCTGGATTTTATTCTGCTTTACTTCCATAAATTGCAGGATCTTCTTTACTTTATCTTTGCCAGAAGATTTAAACTTTAAAAGCCTTGCCCTCATAATTTGCAAGTTAATTTATTTATAAAGTAAATATAAACGCTGCTTAAGCTAATTCAAATGAAATTAAAAGTAAAATAAGTAGCCAACCTTATCACTGTCTGTAACCTACTAACACGGTAAGGAAAGCATCAGATGAGCTACCTGAGAAACTAACGTTACGTTTCCCCACTTTAAAACCAAACAAACATGGTGGTTCCGTGCCATGTTAATTTCTTTTGAAAAAAGTTGCATGTTATCACTTTTTTCGCTTTACAAAGCGCAGGCTATTTTAATTATTGTGATCAATTTGCGCCGTCAATCCCGGTGCATGCGCGCTTCATTTGCAGTCTGGACGCTGAGGCTCTGACTGAGAGGGACTCCTGCGGGAAAACGCGATTGGGGTGGGGGAGGCGCCCCACGGCAGAGTAGGAACGATGCATGCTTTCACGTAAGAGTCTCCAAAAGCCGCCAGTGACACCGAAAAAAGTCGCCAGATTTGTCGCTAGTCGCTTTTTTGAAAAATAGTCGCTGGAGGGGTCTGAAAAGTCGCGGAGTTGGCAACACTGCACCTGCGGCGCTGACTCGCTCTGCCGTATTTTTTTTTCTTCCTCTTTCAGTCAAGAGGCAGTGATGACGGCGCGGCGGATGACGCAATAATCGCGCGACACAACTAATCGATGATGAAATTCGTTGCCAACGCTTTTAAAAGTCGATTTTTATCGATTTTATCGATTCGTTGTTGCAGCCCTAGAGACTGCTTTGTTTGAGG